TGTCGATTGGATGTGTTGAGAGAGAGAGAGAGAGAGAGAGAGAGAGAGAGAGAGAGAGAGAGAGAGAGAGGCGAAGTGCAACTGTCGATTGGATGGTTCTGATGGGACTCAAATGCTTGTTATAGTGATGCTTTGTTTCAGTTAGCAGAATTTGTTATTCCAATCAGTCAGCAGAGTGGATTTGTGGACATGATTGTGGCGCAGATGGAGTTTATGGCCCAGTCCCTGCTGTGAGGGTTGCGATCGTCGGTGGGGGATTGGCCGGCTTGTCCGCTGCTGTTGAGGTCGTAAAGAGAGGTGGCTCCGTTGTCCTTATTGAAAAGACTGCAAGGTATGTCTCATGAACCGTCTCTGAGAGCACCACAGGCTGAAGAAGCAGTCAGAACGAATGGAATGGTATCCAATTAAAAAGAAACAAACAAAAAAGAAGTGAATAACTGGAGGTGTTGAAATGTTCCTATTGAGGGTCAAAATCCAATGGACTGCGTTGAAGCAGCAGTAATGAGCGGAATGAGATACGATTAGGAAAAAAAAAAGAACGAAAAGAAGAGAGCAAACAGTGAATATGATGCAGTAATTGGAAGTCTTGAAATGTTATTTCCCTGCACTTATAAAAATCGCTAACGTGAGAAATCAGACATCCGGGCCGTTCGTGGTCCTACCGGTCTGACAACCGGATCGTCGGACGATCTTAAGATTTTAAGATCTGGGCCGCCTTTGCTCCTGCTGGGCCGACGGCCCAGGTCGTCGCACGATCTTAAGATCTTCAGTTCGCGCGAAGATCAGGGCCGCCTATCGGGCGCCACTGGGCCAATGGCCCAGATTAAAACTTTGGAGGCAAGAAAAGGTCCCAGGCCACTCCCTTATTCGGTAGTTCCCAATGAGGCACGAACTTGGTCACCGGTAAAGGAACTGCGCCGCTGTTCGACCGTTTGGCCGAGCAACAGCAACACACACCACACGGACACCACACGGACGCATACACGAGAATACAAGCGCACATGCATGGACACACGCATGCATGCACATGCATCCTGGGCAGACTGTCGGGGTTCAACCAACACACCACACAGACACTGGATGGACACCACATGGACACCACATGTACACCACACGGACACCAAACGGACACCACGTGAACGCAAGCGCACATGCACGGACACACATGCACGCATGCATATGCATCCTGGGCAGAGCGTTGGAGTTCAACCTCCTGACGAGTCGGTGAAAGTCCGTCGAAACAGTCGAGCACAGTAGTGAACGCTTGGAGTTCAACCTCCTGACGAGTCGGTGAAAGTCCGTCGAAACAGTCGAGCACAGTAGTGAACGCTACAACAAGAATACATGAATGCATACACATGCAGGTGCACGCAATAGTGTCCATGTGT